AATTACATGAGACTCCTAAAGTCTCACCATTACACATGCTCTAAGCGTTGGTTTCATAAGTCAATATTCACCGTGTAATACCGTCTACATTAGTTTAGTTTGGTGCTTCAACTGAAGACGATTTTACAATAGCATCACATGATCCATCCTTCAATTTACAATTTACTCCCTCTGTTTTTTTTAATAATAAATACTTTGGAAAGAATCACAAATCTATATTTTATACTTTCTATTCAAAATTTGTATAGCATTTGTATAGCATTTCCAAGAATTAATAATAAAAGTTTATTTCTGGAATAAAAAACATACTATATGTACATAACATAAAACATACAATTTTTGGAAATATAGAAAGTATTATTTATCATTTTAGATGTATAAAAATACTTCGTAGTTTACATTGTATCGTTGTCATTTAACTTCTAATATAATATATTTTTTATTTTATTTTAGAAAATTTTCGACATTTAACTTTTAAAATGATAAAGTGTTTTGTATTTTTATTGTCATTTTAGAAAAACTCAAATAATATAAAAAAAAATTAGCAGTAATTTTTTTGCAATAGTCCGAGCATACGAGGGTTAAAACTTTAGTAAAAATAAAATTAGGGTTTTGTTGCCTCTCCAATTCCTAGCAGTGTCGTTCAATCCTCTCAACTTGTCTCCATGGACGAATCCACCATCAACGTAGTCTTTTCCTCTTCTCCTCCTTATGGTTTTCTTCTTACTCACTCTTCACAAGAAGAAAATTATTCGTATAGTAGTGAGAAATTCTGATTAGATCTTTCGTACCATAGGGGATGAAATCGCTGGAATTGAAGGATCGTGATGCAGCCAGTCCAAGAACCTGGTAGATTGATCTTCTTTTCTTTCTTTATAGATTATGTGTATCCCTAAAATTGTAAAATATATCTTCAAGGTTATTATTGTCCCGTGAAAAACTGGCAGCCAATAGTTTCTCCCTCATATCCGCCATGGAGAAAGCCGCCGTGGAAGTAATCTTCTTCTCCTTATGACTCACTCTTTAATCTAATTTTTATTAATGGTTTCTTCACAAGAAAAATGGTATTCAAATTTCTGATTACATCTTTCGTACCTTAGGGGTTTAAACCCAAGGATAGTGAAGGAGCCACTCGAAAGAGCAGGTATATATATTGATCTTGTTTCTTTTGTTTTGTGAGATTTTGTATCTGTAAGATTGTCTTTTTGTTGTCATGTGTTGATTATATATCAGGATCCGCGTTGAGGGATATGACACTTCACTCCCTTACGATGATGTCAAGAGCGCGTTGAGGAGACGTTTCTCTTCATGTGGAGAGATCATGGACATTTGTATTCCCAGATATGTTGAACCCGATGCTCTCAACATGTTTGTA